GGCTGGAGAGATGGCTCAGTGGTTAAGAACACTGGTTGTTCTTTCAGAAGACCCGGGTTCAAATCCCAGCACCCACATGGAAGCTAACAACTCCATAACTCCAGTTCCAGGGGATCCGACAGCCTCTTTTGTCCTTTGCAGGCATTGCACAACACAGGTGCACTTACCTACACGCAGGCAATACACACCTACACATAAAAATATTAATTTTTTTTTAAAAAGTCAGTCTACAAAGGTTACATTCTGTGTGGCTCCCATGTATGTAACATTCTTGAAGTAATAAAACTACAGAAAGGAAGAACAGCTGTGGCTACCTGGGAAGGGGCACGCACAAATGAATGACAAAATCCAAGCAATATCAATCAACTGCACCAATGTCCATTTCCTGGCTATGGTATGTTATAGTTTCATAAAATGTCATTGTTATAGAAACTGAGTACAAACTGTATGAAGCCTCAGTTCTTTTTTTAAAATTTATTATATTTATTTTATTTGCATGTGTATATTGCCTGCATGTGTGTAAGTGCACCCATGTCATGCAATACCCTTGGAGTCAGAACAGGGCATTGGATTCCCCTGGAACTGGAGTTATAGAAGGTTGTTAGCCACCATGTGGGTTCTGGGAAATGAACCTGGGTCCTCTGCAAGAGCAGCCAGTGTTCTTAACCACTGAGAAATCTCTCCAGCCTGAATCCTCAGTTCTTAAAAAGATTGAGTGTATTTACTTTCTTCTTCTTTTTTTTGAAACAGGGTCTCCCTGTAGCCCCAGCTGGCCTAGAGCCCACTATGTAGACCAGGCTGGCCTTGAAGTCACAGGGATCTACCTGCCTCTGCCTCCCAAGTGTCAGGATTAAAAGTGTGTGTGCCACCACACCCAGCTCTGAATATATTTACGTTCTACGCATGAATAACCCATTAAGAGGAGAATCAAAGTAGAGGATACAATTTTTTTCACAAAATGTAGTAATAGATTATAATTTACAGAAACTTTATTTTCTTTTTTAAATGTATTATTTTTAGTTTACGTGTATAAGTGTTTTGTCTGTGTGTATGTTAGTGGGCCCATGTCATGCAATGCCCATGCCAGAAGAGTACTAGATCCCCTAGAACTGGAGTTATGGACAGTTGTTAGCGACCATGTGGGTGCTGGGAACTGAGCCCAGGTCCTCTGAAAGAGTGGCCAGTGCTGTTAATCACTGAGCCATCTCTCCAGTCCTAAACTTTATTTTCTTATTGCCTTCATTATAGAGAATATTTTATGCTTCCTAGTCCTCTTAAATTTGTATAGATCCACCAGGCGTGGTGGCACACGCCTTTAATCCCAGCACTTGGGAGGCAGAGGCAGGTAGATCTCTGTGAATTTGAGGCCATCCTGATGTACATAGTGAGTTTCAGGCCAGTTGGGGCTACAGAGAGACACTCTCTTCTAAAGACCAGAAAAAAGGTACGTAAAGTTGTGTAGATTCAAGCTTTCAACAGAATATCTAAGTCCATAAGTGTCTCTGGACCTAGCTCCCACCTCCTTTTAGCCTTTGATCTTTCTACTCTTAACAGACCTACATATCTCAGCCACACCCAGTTTCTTGTTGGTTTTGGACATGACCTTTTTTCTTCTTCCAGAGCATTCCACATTCATCTGCCTTTTCTAAATCCTGTTACACATTTGGTCATATTAGACATCCTTATCAACCATCGTTTAAGCTGTTTCTGTATCCAGTGAGTCTGATATGGTACCTGCACTGATTCGAAGTTTTTCTTTGTTTTCCTGTCCCTCAACTGTGAGCTCCTGGTAAACAGAGACAAACTCCTTTTTTGTTTGTTTTCTCTCATTTTTTTTGAGATAGGACCTCATTTTGTAGCCCTGGCTGGCCTATAACTCAAAGAGATCCACTTGCCTCTATCACAGAGCACTGGGATTAAAAGCGTGTGTCACTATACCTGGCTTCTTTTTATTTTACTTTATTTTTATTTTATGTGTATGTGTTTTGCCTGCATGTATGTTTGTATACCACATGCATTCAATGCCCATAGAGACCAGAAGGAATCCCCTGGAATTGTTAGCCATCACATGTATACTAGGAAACAAACCTCAGTCCTCTGCAAGAGTGTCCAGTACTTGCTGAGCCATTGCTCCAGCCTCTTAGACTCTATACTGCACGTCCAGGTCATTGCTTATGTACAGAGTGGGTGCTCAGCAATGCTTATTGTACTTACTTCAGTTGAATTTAGCTGATCGTAAATTTTGAAGGAATACTTATGAGTTAGAATGCACGAATGTACTTTATCTTTAAAAATGTTATATTATGAAGCTGGAGAGATGACTCAGTGGTTAGGAGCACTGGCTGCTCTTGCAGACCATCCAGGTTCAGTTCCCAGCACCCACGTGGCAGCTAACAACGATCTGTAACTCCAGTTCTAGGGACAGACAACCTCTTCTGACCTCTCCAGGCATTACGAAGCTCAGCTGCACTTACACACATGCAGGAAAAACTCCCATACACATAAAATAAAAATAAATAAAATTTAATGTTACACCATTTAATCATTCTAAACTAGGTTAAGATTCCTACCTGAATCTTTAAATATTAGTACCTAGGACTTACTTTTATTGGGACTTTTCTGCAGTCTCTTGAATTCCTATCTAGAAATCCCTAGATTAATAATGTTTTGTTTTGAATTTTAATATTTCCAGCATTATAGTAAGTCCTTTTACTCTTTTACTTGAATGTTCATTTTAAAAATAATTTTTAAAGATGGGTGTGGTGGCACATGCCTGTAGTCCCAGCACTCAGGAAGCAGAGGCAGGTGAATTTCTGTGAGTTCAAGGCCAGCCTAGTCTACCTAGTAAGTTTCAGGCCAGCTGGGGCTACAGGGAGACCCTGTTTCAAAAAGACCAAAAATAAATAAATATTTTAAAACTTTCTTAAATCCCTTTTATTGGACTCTTAAAGCTAACTATGTCCTTTTTTTCCCTAATACTGTAGCTCTTTGAAAGATTGCCAAGCTATTTCGACCTTCAGAGGAGACTGGTGGCCTTAGAAGACCAAATAAGTAGTCTCTTAGGAGGTATACAAGTTGTTTATATCGAAGAGTTACAGCCAGCATTAACACTTGATGAATACTACTCTCTTCTTGACACATTCTGTAATCAACTGCTGAAGAGTCGGGTACCTTTCCACCCACAAAGTCTCAGTGGCTTACAGATGATCCTTAACAGGTAAATATTTGAAGCAGGACAGTTTTTCTGCCTGCCTTAGGTGAGATTTGTGTGTTTCAGTACATTGAACTGTTTCAGATTCCATTGTGTGGTTCTTAGGAAGTTTTTTAAAAATGAGGAGCTAGAGAGCTGGCTCAGCAGTTAAGAGTACATACTGCTCATGCCTGTGGTTACTCACGCCTTTAATCCCAGCACTCGGGAGGCAGAGGCAGGTAGATCTCTGTGAGTTCAAGGCCAGCCTGGTCTACATAGGGAGCACCAGACCAGCTAGTTGAGGCTACAGGGAGACTCTCTCAAAACGACCAAAAAAGAAAAAAAAAAAAAAGAATATATACTGCTCTTTCAGAGGACCCACTTTGAGCAGTTCACAACCACCTGTAACTCAGGCTCCAGGGAATCTGATGCTTCTGGCCTTCTTGGGTACCTGTACTCATGTGCACACACACGTATACACATATTTAAAAATAATAAGAAATGTTTAATTAATGTCAATAAGGGGAGGTCTGGGGAGGGGAGGGGATCTAAATACCATCAAATTATATTGTTTGAAAATCACAAAAATTCAAGTAGGAAAAAAAAAATATATATATATATATATATGAATGTCACTACCTATGTTACAGCACTATTTTGAACATGACAAAAACCATTAGGGGACTGAAGAATGAATTTCCAAAACATTCTTTGAAAATATATCCACTACTGGGCAAAATCAGTCCTATGGAAACCTAGGATTAAGTCAATGGCAAGCATTTTTTTGTGTATATAATCTTTGCCTGCACTTTGTGTTTAGATGCATTCTCTCTAAAGTACTCACAAACTCACTTTGAAAGAGGTTATTACCACTATTACAGAGGACAGCCACAGGGCTGGTCTTGGGTTGCCATCCCAGGGAGATATGTCTTTGAGGGCTTTAAACGAATGTTGTAATATTACGGTGGATTTTCTGAGGATCTGGAGGGCAGATGGAGGCAGTGATGTTTCCCTAAATGCATACTTCATTTCAGTGACAGATATACTCCAAGCTTGCACGAACTTGGACATTTTAATATCCCAGCCCTCTCTGATCCAGCAAACCTCCAATATTTTATGAGAACAAAAGCTCAGGAAGCAAGAGAGAACATGAAAAGAAAGGAAAAGTAAGTATTCTACTACAGGGAGTTCAAGACCAGCCTGGGATGTGTGAGATCCTGTCTTTAAAAAAAAATTGACAGCAAAAGCTTTATCTGCATTTTAGTTACATTGAAAAGAAATTTTATAGTGAAAACGGTTTTAGCAGTCCTGTTTCTATGTTGTCTGTAGCTTTGAAAGAATCACTTGGCAGCCAAGGGTTTCTTATTGCTAGGTGGCAAGAAGCTGCTGGATAATGTTCTCTGTGCCTGCTATGAAGAACGAGAGCATTCCATAGCAGCACTGTCAGATGTTAGAAACAGACTTAACATGTTTATCTTTCCATCAAGTCAGGATTTATTGGATAACAGTTTGCCAGATAATCATGCTTTCCTGCTGCCATGTGGGTGCTGGGATTCAAACCCAGGTATTCTGCCATGGAATTGGAAGGGAGAAGTGGTGAAGTGACATAGAAATGTTTTAATTTTTTTTAAAGAGATAAACTTTATTTAAATTCACAGACACAAGTTCTTTTATTATTGTCTTAAACTTATTAGCTCTCAGGTCACACACCACACTGTAAACAAATGTGTATGACTAAAAGAGTTAAAGAGGGTGCAGCCAAGTTTCCCGAGGCTTTAGAAGTAGACTGATAGAAACATAGAGTCTGTGTTGATAAACGGAGTTACAAAGAAGAAGCTGAAGTTGTAAAGTCAGCCTGCTGAGGGGGTCACAGGTTTGAATGTAGAGTTGGGTCCAGATCGGGTCCTACAAAGGAATGAGCAGACAGATGGACAACTGGCCCAGGTAGGTGAGTGGGTAGGTGGGTAGATGACAGTTGAGTAGTGTGTTAACAGCAAGGAGAAGTGTAGCTCAAGCCCTAGGGATAGTCATTCCTTGATATACACACTGGGCAGTTGATGGGCAGTCACCATCACAGTGCCAAATGTGGAAGTAAGGGTTCAAGTGAAGAAGTTTATACCCTTCTCTTGTTCTCAATTCACCCTAAGTTTATAAGGTGGTACACTTGCAACTCTGAGCAATAAATCATTTATCTGTTGGGTGATGCCAACAGATGGTGCCGTTCATGTGTCTACCCAGGTGCACAGTCATTTTCTACCCTCAAAATGGAGTCAAAAGCTGTTTGTAAAGTGGAGCCTCTCGGGGCAAGGCACAGTCCGGAAAAAAAAATACCCAAAACAAAAGCATTGTTTTGGGTTTTTTTTTTAATTTTATGTATATGAGTGTAATGCCTGCATGTAGCTAGGTACACCTGTGTCATGCATTGCCCTTGGAGGTCAGAAAAGAGTGTTGGATCCCCTGGAACTGGAGTTACAAACAGTTGTTAGCCACCATGTGGGTGCTGGGACTTGAACCCAGGTCCTCTGCAAGAGCAGTCAGTGCTTTTAACTGCTGAGCCATCTCTCCAGCCTCTAAACCACTGTTTTATATGATATGGAGTAACTCAGCCTGATGTCAGCCTGATGTCAGCATCTAAGCAAGGGGTTTATATTCTTACATGTGGCATCATAAGAGCTTTTTAAATCATGTATTATTTTTATCTCATTACTGCTAATAAGATTGAACACGTCCTTTAAAGATAAATGTGGAAATAACTCAGCAAGTACTGAACCTCATAGTAACTCTTGGCATATCTTCAAAGCATGACTATGGCCTTGTGGATGCCATATTCAGTAGTGTAAGCAGAATGCTATCATCCCAGCACTTAGGAATATGTTCATATTTTAAGTTCTTTATTTAGTGATAGCTTGTGATCTTTTTTTTCAATTTAATAGGTTAAAGGTTATTGAAAATGAATTGATACAGGCTTCAACAAAGAAATTTTCTCTGGAGAAGTTATACAAGGAGCCCAGCATTTCTAGTACACAAATGGTGGATTGCTGTAAGAGACTTCTGGAACAATCACTGCCTTATCTACATGGGATGCACCTCTGCATATCACATTTTTACTCTGTTATGCAAGATGGAGACCTTTGTATCCCATGGAATTGGAAGGGAGAAGTGGTGAAGTGACATAGAAATGTTTTAATTTTTTTTAAAGAGATAAACTTTATTTAAATTCACAATTTGATATAATGGTATCATTTACATGTTAGAGGAACAAAATTTCTAACCACTGCTTTAGAAGTAGGGTGTTTTTTTTAATGAATTTATGCTAAGAAACTTGTTTTTAAAAGGTTTCATCTCCTAGTCTTGGGATGCTGAGTGTTGAGACTAGGAAAAAAGATGCTAGAAGGATGGAGGTATTTTTAGTAATAAAGGCTTTGGGTATTTTTATATGAGTGAATGTTGGTTGGAGGTTGCATATGTTTATGTGCCCTTATCAATGGGTCTCATTTAGTATAGCTCCGAAGCACTGGAACTCTTCTACATATAATACAGTTCCACATGTGTCTTTATAGTTACATTTCACACACACACACACACACACACACACACACACACACACACATATGTTGTAGCCATTAATGAACAGTTGATATCCAAAAAAGATGTTTGGGTAGCAAAAATTAGATAACCAAATTTTACCTAAAAGGAAGAAGGTAAAAAAGCAATGCTGTTAACATTGTCCTAAGCAGTTTGATTATTTTCAGGTACAGTATTTAAACTCCTAATTTCTTCTACTCATTTAACTAGTGATAGAGCATATGCTTAGTATGTACAAGGCCCTGGGTTCCATCCCCAGTTTCAATAAATGAATAAGATATATTATAATTAGGATAGTTTGTGAAGTCATCCCTTTGAGCTGTGCTAATGTGCTTAGTGTTGCTGTAAAAGCTCTCCAGAACCAAACATGGAAGATTCCTCAAACATGATATGAGAGTTTATTGAAAAATGCAGTTTGGATTATACCATTTCTAAAATCATAACACAGAATCATCAGTAATGTATGCTGAGTTGGATTTTGTCTCAGAACTAATTGTTACATAATAAATGATACTTTACCAACTATATAACTGCTTTTCTTGTTTCCAGTTATTACAGGTTCACAACTACTATGGAGCAATAGTTAATTATTGGACATTAGTGACCTGTACATACCCATTTGACTTCATCGCCCACTTAATATAAAAGGAAAAGTCTTGCTGGGTGTGGTGGTGCACACCTTTAATCCCAGCACTCAGGAGGTAGAGGCAGGCAGATCTCTGTGAGTTCAAGGTCAGCCTGGTCTAAATAGTGAGCTCCAGGACAGCTGGGGCTATAGGGAGACCCTGTCTCAAAAAGACCAAAAAAAAAAAGGAAAAGTCTCACAACATCACACAGGGCACAACCAAAGCCTCAGCTGAAAAATGGTCTCCCAGGGCTGGACAGATGGCTTAGCGGTTAAGAACGCTGTTTGTTCTTGCAGAATACCTGGGTTCGAATCCCAGCACCCACATGGCAGCTAACAACTGTCGGTAACTCCAGTTCCAGGGGATCTGACAGCCTTTTCTGTCCTCTGCAAGCATTGCATGACACGGGTGCACTTACCTACATGCAGGCAATACACACATACACATAAAAATAATAAAATATTTTTAAAAGAAAGAAAATGATCTCTCTGGGGCTAGATGCCCAAATAGTTAGAGCATATGTTGCTCTTCCAGAGGACCTGAGTTCAATTTCTAGCACCCACCTCAGGCAGCTAACAACTGCCTGTAATTCCAGCTCCAGAGGATCCAACACCTGGCCTCCATAGGCTCCAGTACTGGGTTAGTTTAAGGGAGTGGGGAGGGAAGGGTATACAAGGAACCTAGGGGATAAAGGAGCTCAAGAGACGTAGGACCATAAGAGAAGGGTATTATTAAGGTAGAAAGGGGGGAAATGGGGGCACCTTAAGTGGGAAAACCATCATGGAGGGGTGAGACAATGCAAGAGATAAATAATGCCTAGCTAGTTTTGAAAACCAGAGGGAACCATATTACTCCTACAACCTACTGACAAATTATACATACCAGATCAAGAAATATATGTCTCAGTAAGGTTTATCTGAGAACAATTGGTCTTTGAACAAGATTTATCTACATGGTACACAGTAATTAAAAGTACTAGACTGGTGGAAATAACCTTCTTTGATGTTTAACAGACATACTTTGAGGTATATAATAATTTGTTCAGAGGGACATAAAGGACAATTTTTGCTCCTTGCCTTCCTAGGTCTACCAAGGAGGCCGAGGAGACCCCACCAGATGGTCTTGAACCAGCGTCCAGTCTACAAAGAGGAGGGTCAACACAGGAATCATTTCCTCCATGCTTCCAAGTGAGGCCAACCATGGTTGATCAGGACCTTTGACTTATCTTCACGTAGATGGAACTGGTAAAAGAAACTAGCCAGGGCCTCCTCCCAAGCCCATGTGACCCCTGAGGAACAGATCCTCAAATGACTAAGAGTAAAAATAAATCAGTTTATCTGGACCAACTGTATGATCTTAAACACCCAAAAGGAAAGTATAGCCAAAGTTTAAAGGGACCAATATAATTTCATAAACATCCATATGTATAGCATAGTAACCTAGCATAGAACTGGGAAAATGAACAGCAGACCCCAATCTTATCTAAAGGAATATTGAAAAATGATTGCTGCTAGATAAGGAACAGCTGACCCTCCTAAAACAAAGACCTCTTGATAGGCTGACTAGATTCACCAGATGGACAAGTAGTGGGGAATGGCTGGGGTGCTGACAACACAGCAGACAGTAGCAGGGATATCAGAGTATATGGGCTCTAGTGGGGGGAGGGAGGCTATGGGAGGGTGCTATCTGTGAAGTGGATGTATACTCGAATAAGATGGTTTGGGATGTTCTGTGTGATATACGCACACACACAACACAAAAAAAAATCAACAAATTTTTTAAATGTATTATATTTGAGGAGGAAGCATGGAAATTTATGTCATATTAATTAATAGAGGTGATAAACATTACCAGTGAAATCTACCCGATGACTTTATAGATATACACAGGCACCAAGGATCCAAGTGCAACCGATTATGACTAGTAATAATCAGGTACATACAGATTAGAGATGCATGCGCCAACATCTCAGTGTTAGTAGCAAAAACAATGAGTCTTTCTGCAAGAAACAATATATTCTAAAATGAAATGGAGATCTTTTTTTGGGGGGGGGTTGGTCTTTCTTGAGACAGGGTCTCCCCAGTAGTCCCAGCTGGCCTGGAACTCACTATGTAGATGAGGCTGGCCTCGAACTCACAGAGATCCACCTGCCTCTGCCTCCCAAGTGCTGGGACTAAAGGCATGCGCCACCACACCCGGTG